ACTCAAGATTTCTTTAGGTACAGGAGAATTGCCACTAAAGCAAATTAAAGGCACTGCTTTTTCAGAAGAAAAGCTGTCAATAGGTGTTCTCTAAATCACTTGTACCAGCTGGCTGACCCCATTATGTCAGCTAATCCTGAAAATACAGGAGGTAAATTTAAAGCTTTTCATATGAACTGTTTAGTCGATTTTCATTTTTTGTTTGTTTTGGCACAGCATTGAAAGTGTTATATTGCTGTCCATCTTTTACCCCAGTCTATAACTTTCTGTGTAGTTGTAATGCCCAGAGGAAGAGGGGCATGACTTTTCCAAGGGACAGAGCAGGCAGGATATTTGAGAGCATAGTGCTTGTCTATCACAGAAAAGAAAAAGAAAGATCACAGGCTGTGTGAAAGGATGGAGGAAAGAGGGTGCCAGGCATATGGGCGACTTAATACTGGTGCTCAGGGGACAAAACAAGTTCCCTTTGTCCCTACTCCAGTGCACCATCTCAGCAGTTGTACTATTCCCTCATCAACAGCACACCTACATCTGCCTGTGTTTCCTGCTTATGTTCACCCACCACCCAATTACCAGCTCATGAAGATCCATACCTGCTGTGCCTTGATCCTCAGAATGCTACACTGAAGCTTTTAACCCTCTCCAAACACCTACATAATGCTTTATAATAATAATATTTAGCACATGAGAAGGTACATTAAATAATTACAGATGGTACTTAAACCACCAGATTAGCAGATCCTCGCACAGTGCTGAAGATCTGCAACACAGATCTACAAGGGAAAAGCACAGTCGTTTTCAGTCTGAGTCATATTTAAGTCCTGCTCTCCTCAGCAGACTGTGAACTCCCTCTCCTGTTTTTGTCTTAAGACTCTCCATCATACATATTTTTTTTAAATCCCAAGTATTATGTGAATTTGTGGGAGAACAGCTTGCCATATGACCCACATCTGTTATAAATACCCACTAATCTTACACACAAATAGAAAGAATTGACGCATTTAAGTATCTACATTTCTCTTTTCCTTTGTTCCCACAAATTATTTGAGGTTTTCAATTAATATCTGATAGGTTTTAAATTTTGTTGCTGAGAGTAAACAAAATTTACATACTGGACTTGATTGAAAGTGCTTGCTTTCAGTCCATGTATGTCAATTACATGTGTCCATTGCTGTGGTCTTCAAAAGCACAAAACCCTTAAATTCTCTTTGAATGCTGAACTAATGTGGACTAAAGCAAGGCATTTATAATAAATGTGGGAAAACAAAGTACAGAGCAAGCTAGCGAGTTGATAGATTTCGATGCATAAACTTACTTAAAATGTCCTTAACCATCTTCTATCATTTTTGTCTTCTGCAAAATGTCCTCTGAAATATTATAGAAAACCCAGTATGGAAGTCTTGGTTTTTTATTTATCCCTGCAATGACCCAGGAATAAAGGGTCCAATCTAGTCTAATCTATCACTTGAGGTTTATTTCATTATCATCATTCAGGTCTATGTATCTCTCCTAAATGCAGAAGCAGCCTTTTTCTTGAAGAATACATGGTGTGAGTACACATCCAAACTCATTCTTTTGTCCCTTTCAAATAATCCAACATGATGGTTCAGGCAGTGGGGGTAGAACAAGAGACTGAAAGACCATAACCATTCTTTGACTGGCATACTGAATGCAAGTCATGACTAAAAATGAAGGATTAACATATATGTCAGTTAAACAGCAAACATTAGAGTGAAGCTATCAGAAAAAATATACTGTTGGCATTTACTTAATAAAATATGCCTGTATAAGATGCACACTGTTGGCATTCATCTCCTCTTTTGTTCACAATACTTTATACATTATTTTTCTGTAGAGCTGAGGATCCTTTGCAAGATGTCAAGCATCTCAAATATACTTTAATTGAGCATTTTGTATAAAACTAACTACTATTTACTCTCTGGGTTTAGCAAACTTTGTTAAAAGTCAGGTTTATAAGAGAGTTAATAGGATGCTTGACAAAATTAAGCATCTTCCTGGCAAAGATGGAGTGTTGATTTAATTTAGGGATAGAAGAAAGAGCATATTACACAATGCAAGCATATGTAAACATAAAGTAAGCATACAGCAGAAACAAACATTTTGCCGTATCAATTTGAAATAAGAAAATACTCCATAGTAAGAGAACTGCAAATTCTCATAGCAATGGTAAGTGGAAATGATGAACAACTTCTAAACAGCATCACTGAAACAAACATAATTTAAAAGTCCAGATCTTCAAAAGGTATTGGAAATAAATATTGAGTACAGGTAAACAAAGAGAATCTCATATTTTCTTTAAGCATTCACAACCCTTCCAATTCCCAGGTTTGCACTTGCAAAACATGGCACAGCGACAAAGTGATCAGTTCACCCTTCCTTTTCATACAATCATTTTGAACAAGTCAGAAAGAAATGTATCAAAAATTGCTCAGTCAGTGACGCTTCTGGCGAACTGGGTTAGTGCCCTGTATTTGAAAACCCTGGGAGGTTAAATTTGTTCATTTCTATGGCATATTTTTCTAATCAATCACTTCCTGCTCTTTCTTCCCTCACTGTATTTATTTCAATGGCAATTTATACTAATCAATCACTTCCTGCTCTTTCTTCCTTCACTGTATTTTTAAATCCACTACCTAGAATATGCAGCCTTGTAGCATCGCAGTGATCATCTCCTTATCCCCTCTTGGCCATTGTCTTTTTGTGTTGAGACTAATGCTTTTAATTCGTCTTTCCACAATGTTTAGGCTATACTGCCTTTTTGAAACCTTTCAGCTAAACTGCTAATTGCATAAAAAAACCCTTCACACTGCTTTTGGTCGCACTACTTCATGTTTTGAAAATACTACAAAGCATATTTTTCATGGGAGGAGAGCCTTGGAATGAATACCCTTCTCCAAATGTCATATGAATGCCTCACTTCTTTTGTAAAATTTACATTAAGGTTTAAGTATCACATTCAAAGTGGCACCATACTGTCCAAAAAACACAGGTTTCTTTTTTAAAAATTGTGGGCTTGTTTTGGCTCTATTCGTAAGTTGTTTTTTTAAAAAATACATTAAAATATTAGAGCTTTGTTCTTTGTGTTTCAGTTCTGACAGAAGGAAATAGCAGAGGAATGTTGTACTTCACAGGAATAAAACTGCTTGATTCACGTAACTTCAGTGACCTTTTAGTGCAGACTTATCTACAGTTTCTACAAAACAGCAGAGATTGTTTATTTGAAGGAAGCTGTTTTCCCTGCAGACCTTTACTTCTCGTGTCAAGTACATCAGGGGTACACTTGAAGTCACAGCACAGCTTTAAACCAGCGCTGATAAACTCATGTGGGATGTTACTTCAAACCACCAGAGCAACAGGAGGAAGGACAGGGAAGAATTTAATTCATTTTCAAAACAAAGGAACATCTATTTAGGCTTTAGGAACATTTGCAAATTGAAGTGAATCCAATGGGATTTGCGATGACTTGCCATTTCTTCAGTTCTTTATTTATTATGTGTATTTTGGTAGCATCTGGAGGCCTTGCTCTATAGGGGGCTGTACAAATACTGAAAGAAAATGTGATCTCTCCCATAAAACAAGTTTTTAATATAACATGAATTGAGTCAATAATATCCCATCAAGGTCTTGTTCTAAATGCAAGACATTCCAAGTTTCTGGTTTAAAAGGTTACAATTCTTTCAGTATATTCTATTTGGTCAAATAACTATTGCAAATATCAATATATACCTATAACTGTCTCTCTCAACAATAACTTACAAGGCTTAAATCATAATGAATGTACAGATATGAAAAACAAGGACCTAAACGCAGCACCATCTACCATTAACCCCTTTACTTTGTGACCACGAAATTTCCCTGATGTTCATTCATATACAGTTTTCAATGTGAAATAAATGCAGGAACTGAAAAAGGATGAACATGAGAGACGGTTCTGGAAAAATTAGGAAGCAAAACACACTTCCAAAGAATAAAACCTTTTTGTTTCAATGCACTTTGATACAGTTTAATACGAAGAATACAAAATCAATTTTTTGTAGGGAAGTGAAAAGTCAATGCTGCAAGAGTTTGGAAAAGTTTGGAAATCCAGAAAAATTTATCTTAATATCAGATGAGACCTTAAAACTTGGACACTTATATTTGTGTCACATAGTAATTTTCCTTCTGTAAAGACAAAAATAAACAGGACAAGCTGATCTATCCCTGACCTACTTTTGCATTGAAATCACCAGAAATTTTTATAGCCCCAGACTCTAATCTGACCTAAGGATGTTTTTAGCTTACAACTCCTGCTGTCTCTTTCCTGCCTTGATTTTGCTGTTGTCTTCTGCCCAAGTTCTTCAAACTTCCTAGGAGTTGCATATCCTGTCTTCAACAAGTGATGAAGCTCTTTAAATCCAGAAGCAATGATGCACCATGAACAGGCTGCTTTAGGTGTCAAAGAAAATCACTACAGTCATTGGCCAAAATCACATCATGACCTCAATCCCACTTCAGGAGAGTGCCTGATCCAAAATTGTTTCTGTCTTTGTCCAGTTTCTTCACCACATATTCTCTAATATCCAAACCTACTCAGCAAAAAAAACTCTTGAGTTTATTGCCAATAACCTAAGAAAGAAGGCAACAGGACATGCAAGCTCATATTAAGGGTTCCCTCTGAGTTTGGATTACTCAGGTAATTAATTTATTCTGATATATCCTGGCAGAGTTTGGAGAGTACCACATTCATATTCAAACCTGTGATAAGAAATGAAATACTACTCCCAGTTTCTGAGTCAGGAAGACAATCCACTTTGAGATATGCATGTTTCTGATATTGAATAAGAGTATCTGATATTTTACAATATACACAGCTTGTAACTACAACATGGGAGTAAACAAATATTCGAATTTAAGCAGGCATCCACTTAGGCAGTGGGAGACTATAGATATCTATGAAAAACTTTCATTTATGCACTGCAACAAGTACAAAATTCTCTTACCTGCAGGTTTGCACATGCTGGTGAATCATTGTGGGAGGGTATTTCATTGTTGGTGGTCTCTGAACCTGTGTTTTTAAGTCTGGAAGCTGTTGTAGTTGTGGCTGTAGTGGTCTGTACTGGTAAGATTGGCTGCCAGACATTCACATCAGTACCGTTGCCGAAGGCCTGAATTGCATTTTCTGTAAAAACAAATTACAGGCAATTTTCTATTTCTAAAAACAAAAGGCAAAAAGTAGAACTGAGTTGTTTTTTATTATTATTATAATTAGTACATTGAAAATGTGTATTTAGAGAAACTCGATTTTTATGCTGAAAAATGTGTCTTAATTTTGAACCTATCTGAAACATGAACTCAGAGTCTGGGGTCGTAATTATCTGGTGCAGCCTCTTCTTTGTAATGTTTCCAGTAATTCTTGACAGGCACTCTAGGACTTACCATAATCATATTTGTTACCATCCAAGAGCCTCAAAAATTTACTCTGAGGATTTAAAATACAGTTTGAATGTCATGTCCTAATTCAGGCAGGTGATTTTAGCAAACTGAAAACAGAGAACAGGCAAAATACTTATTTCTACATCTTGTTGTAGTAAAACTAATATGCCTATAACTACAAAATAGTTTAACTAAGGCAATCTTTTCCTTACAGTTTTCAATCAAAATCTGCATAATTAGGTGAAGGAAACATGCTTAAACTAAAACTTCAGAATATAAAAGTTAAAAAGCTTATCACGGTTTCACGGGATTAAAGAGTGTGTTTATAGCAAGAGTAAATTGGTTGGGGCTTTTATAAAACAAATAGAAAAACAGTTTTTAATCAGGTCTTTGGGGATTCAACATGGATTTGGGCATTTCTTATTCCAAATTCTTTGTACAAGAAACCAAACAATTTCACTGGGGACTAATATGTGGAAGTTATTAATACTTCTTCTCAGTAGTATTCCTTGGCTTATAAAATAATTTCCATTTAATTTTCAACTGAAAAATATGTATTTTATTATGATATTAGTTCTCAGAACTCCAACATGCAAAGAGAAGAATTTGTAAAAGGCACCACAATCAGCTGGGTTAATGGAGACAAAGTAGGAAGAGTGAAATTATATGTTTCCTTAGTTTCCCCAGAATGAGGCAATATATAAACCAATATTTTCCTATTATTTCCTAAATTGACAGCAAGTCTTTGTTTCCACTATTACAAGAAAGGTCACAGAAATACGTGCAATCCTTCCAGGTTTTTAAGTAACAAGTGGTCTTTACAATTAGGTTTCTTTAATTATTTTATACAGTCATTCTCAATGATCCTTATGAGTCTTTTCCAACTTGAAACATTCTATGATTCTATGACAGAATCACAGAATGATTTGGGTTGGAACCATCCTTTTTTTAAGTACTGAAAGGCCAAAATAAGGTCTTTCCAGAGCCTTCTTTCAAGCTAAACAACACCAACTCATAAAAGAGGTATTCCACCCCCTCATATTTTCACAATATTTCAAATATATATACATATATATGAAATATCTATTTTATACATATAACTTTAATACATATTACAAACATATTTCAAAAACCATAATGACTTCAAGGAGGTGCTTCAAATGTTTAACTGCTCTACTAAAGGTCCTCCCAATAATTTTTCTTAACTAACTCACAGGCAGGTGTGAACAAATTCTTTGAACAGATGGGTATATATACTGAATCCCATTCAGATAAGTAGGAATTCTAGTAAATGCATTCTATAAATGAATGTCAGAGCATTCACATTCAGAGTAGTAAAAAAAACTCTCAAGATGGATTTCCAGAATTTATGATAGGCCAAACCTTACCTTGAGAGGCAGCAATTAGGAACACTGCAGTATTGCCAATAAACTTGCATCTTCCAATAGAGGATAAAAGTAAAAGCAAGGCAATGTACAGCCAAAATTTTAGAGAAGAATCTATCTTATTTGGGTCCTATTAAACTGGAAATTGGGCTAATTTCACAGTTCTGATATAAACCCATATTCTGCAGGAAAATGCTGAGATAAAGAAACACTTTATCTACTACAGATACAGAGAAAACAACAAAATGTTTGTCTTCATGGGACTACTTATTAAAACAGACTGGAATTTTCACTTGTATTTTCACACCCATCTTTTGAAATCAAAACTTGCACTCTGGTTTCAACTTAACATCTTTTGCAAAAGGCATTTCAACTCCAGAGTGTAGTTTCTGGAAAAGTGCATGGGGAGGACCAAGAAAGATCAGGATTTCAGGTGTGTATGTGGGACATGGGACACTCAGTTTCATATCTCAGCTCCACATCAGGCACAGTATGAATATGATCCTCAGTCTCCTGCTTTCTAATTTCCCTGGCCCGCAGGGTACAGTCCCGGCTCTTCCATTTTGCATAAGTAACTAAAAGGATTTTTATTTAAGTTAGCTTTTCCACATTATTATAAATGCCCCAAACAGCTAACTTTTCCCACTCTACATAAAAGAAAAACTTTATATTAAACCAGAAATGTCTGTAATTGCTTCATGAGGAAGACATCTCTTACAGCTAAAATGACTATAATTTGTCTCACAGTAACCTCTACTGTCTTTGATTTGTCTTCATTAATGCTTTTGTACCAATGGCAAAAGAAAGGACAAGGAATTGCTCTGTCTTTATGTTCTAAAAGGAACCTGTAACATTCTAGAAATTAGTACATTCACAAATGAATACAATCTGAGGTATTCATCATGGCTAGGCTTCGCAAATGAAGATTTGGGAAGGGCTCTACCCACGTTTCTTGCAAAATCTGAGGTATTACAATATATATAAATGGCAACACCCATTAGGCTTGAAGAAGGTCTGACGGTACATTGTTAAATTTTACCCCATCATAATTTGAACTCTTTTCTCTTTTTCTTTTGCTAAATGATCTTGAGTAATTGATTAATTCTTCCAAAGCTTAATAAATAGTGTATCACACATAGCAACTCGTGTTTTTGTAGGCAAAACTCCCCATGTCTTCACCACAACGCTGCCTCTTGAGAAGCTGCCAATGGAGATTTTCAGACCCTGCTAAAATGCAGACTGAACCCTGCATTAGCTCAGGTCTGTAGGGCTGGACAGAACAGTCTGGATCACTGAGTTCATTTACCGTTTTTGAAGAAAGCAATGCTGTATGTATGCTTCTTTGCATAAGCTGATGAAATATGACTTTTAAATCCACTTCTGCCCTCAAAACTCATGCTGGAAGCCTATTTCTTAACTTTAGTGTGATGGTTAAAATTTTTCCAATTTTGAGCCTAAATATGTATGGCCAATATCTCCCTTTTTGATCTTATGCCAACATTGTCCTCTAGGTGAAGTAATCCTTTTCCCACCCTGGGCTTGCCCTTTAATGCAATTTTTGTGGACAATCACGTATCCTTTCAACTTCTGTTCTGCTAGGCTAGGGAAACCAAGCTCTTTTGGCCTCCTCATTTATCTGAAATTAAAACTCTGATGCACACTTCACCTCATCCAATTATGCCGCTTCAGGCAGACAGGAAATTTGAAAAGAGAACCTGCCAAAATCGACTCTACTGAGCCATTCTGAAATTTATAATACTCCCTAATTTGGAAGTGAGTCTGACAGGAAAAAAAAAATCATTTATTTAACAAAATCTTTACAACAGTTACCATCCAGGTTTGTGTTAAAACCAGGCCTCTGAGATCAAATATCCTAAAAACCCTGAAGTTGGCAATAAATTGCAAGCACAATCCAATTTATACTTACCTACAGCAAATCCTTCATATCATAAACTACATGTCTTTTTAATATGAAGTTCTTAAATAACACAGAAACCCCCCAGGTGTTGCAATATTTTGGTAAAGATGCTTCCTGACTGTTAGGGTCCAAATATGACCTGTGATGTAAACATATCTCAATACCATACAACTTTGTTATTTTAATTTTTTTTTCCAAGAGCCTGTCATGTTTGCAATCTTGGCCATAAATCTCAGTATCAGGCATATTTGCTTGTTCTTTTAATTTTAACACCTATAACAGAACCATGCTTACGAAGTGCAAAGAGATGGCCTTGATGTATCGTAACACACTTTAAAACCCTAGAAAACATCCTAAAACACACTAAAATACATCTAATCTTGTACTCACTAAGGCATATGTTGTCCTGGAAGAAATTCAGGAACTTCTCGCATTCATCTCTGTCATTACCACTGTTGCTGCAGTCGCACCACGGGGCAACACTGAGACTGTTTGAGTCTATGTAGTTTGGTGTCATCACGGTGCCTGTTAACAGAGTGAAGCACAATACTGTGAACAACATTTGTACTGAAATACTCTTTCCATCCTAAGAAGACAGCAAACAGCACCTGGTAAGTCATGTATTCGGGGTTGGATTCACAACACAAACCCACAGCAGGGCTCTGACCTCCACACTTAACAGTTCTGGCTCCTTTTCACCCTGTGACACCCAGCCTTGTCCCATAGTTCACACCCTGCTTGAATTGCACTCTAAAAATCTGGTTTTTCTTTCTTGCCTGTTTTTTTTTCCCCATTTTAATTCTATCTGCAAAGAAATGGTTGAAACTAGGTATCCAGACCTGTGCTTCCTCATTGAGTCTGCAGCCAGCCTGAAAAAACATTTCTGAAATGCATGAGCAAGGAGAATGCTAGTCATGCTGAGGGGAGCCCTAATACGTCTTGCAGGAGTGTTAACCTCAGGGTGCTCATTAGGAACCTGCCAACAGAGTGGGTTATGGTGATGAACAGAGCAAAACCCAGCGTGCATGAAAAGGTAACAGGAGATTCTTTGCAGGTAATAAATTACTATTAATCTTGCTGTCTCTATTTCTTCAGTACAGTGATTATTTCCTAAACATTGTCAACAACTTCCAACCACAGGGTCATTTTAACTCTATTACAAGTTCTTGAGTAAATATTCTCACATTTATATGTCAACTCAAGGCTACCAAGAATGAAATTAAACCATAGAAGGCATTTTTTGTCCTAAAAGATGTACAGTGACTGTTCATCACTCATCTGGATCGGGAAACTCTTATATGATCAGCAATTGCTCAAGCCAGTGGTCTAACTGAAGGCATCACCCAGCAGGTCAGATATTTCAAACCTCCCTAAGGATTGCAAAGTTTTAACCTTTATTTTATTTGTCTGATCAAAAAGGAAAAATTAAATAAAAAGGGGAAAGTATTCCAGAGCTGTACTGCTGCTTTTTCAGGGAACATGTTCCTCACTTGATAATCTGCAATTCTAGGACAGGTTATATATCATGAGAAAATGTGATCACATCTCCTCAAAACTGACATCAAAGTAGTCATTAATAAGATGGAATAGACAAAGGACAAATGTTAGAGACACAAAGTGTACACTAGCAATGAAAATTTGGTCCATAGGTCCAGGGTCCAAGTCTGCAATAACACACAGGAAAGGGCTGTCAAACATCCAGCTAAAAAAAGGAACATTAGAAATAACACGAATCACAGAATGATGTCAAACAGCCTTTCAGTCACCAAGGCAGTGCTGGGAACTGAGCAAATCAACATGCAAACTGCTGCATATCTGATGTGGGAGACAAAGGAGAACAGGCATAAGGGCTGGTCTGAGAAAGGCAGTAATGTACATGAAAACAAATGCAGTCCCATTGCCAAACTCACAAAAAGCATCTTTTTTCTTGTTTTGGGATGTTCTTAAATTAGACTGCAGTCCTACACGTTTGTCTACTTCCAGCTTTTAGAAGAGAGTTGCATAGTAATAATTGATCAAATTCTACATGAGATTAGCACATGGGTAAATAGCACGGTCCAAAATTTATTAAATCAAGGTAGAGAATTTAGTAAAATAGGCAAATATCATTTGCATCATTAATGAAAACTGGATAGTGGATAAATAAGAAGAGGAATAATGTTAAATTAAAATAAAACATATTAAAATATCTGTCCCTTATCCATTTGATGGTTCAGTACACTATTTCAGCCATGCAGCATGATCTGAAAAGACATGAGAGAAAATGAAAAGTGGATTTTGCAAATGGAAAGAAAACAGCAGGCTAAAAAAATAATTCTAATTAGCCAATGCTTAGTGAAGGGTTAAAAAACCAGAAAGGTATGGAGGAAATTAAAAAGGTCACTGAGGTAAGACTTTCTTATCACAAAGAGGTAATAAGGTAATTAAAATGGGTCAAGACAGGGGTTAAAAGTGTAACAGATACCAAGGTACAATTAGGGTTGATGAATACAGGAAAGACAGGACAAGGAAAGTGTGTACACAGCACACAAACTGTACATCCAGCATAAACAGAGTGGCTGAAAGAGCAGCTAGTAGAAAATCAGTCTGTCATTTAAACCTGGGGGCAGATGTGAACCCAAGCGGATTATATGCTTGGTTTCCTGGGGTGGATTTCTTTTTTCCCTGCAATGTGTGTGCCTTGCCCTACCTCCCTCCCCTTTCCCGCTAGCTGGCATCCTGGAAATTCTGCTGAAGGACACTAATGGATCAGAGAAGCCATGGTAGTTGGCAGTAAAATAGGACATGCTTGGTTTTCTGAGCTCTATGTATCAAATAGTTCTGTGATGGTCTCAAAAGTGAGCAGACAGATATTTTCATATTTTCCATATTTTAGACAAAAGCAGAATTGATCCAAACAGCCAAGAGGTTGCTCAAATTAGGGTCTATTAAGAATGAGGAAATTGATGGTGAGTCCAGGAGGAGGAGTAAGGGGCTGAAGTTCCTTTGGCCCAAAGCAACTCCAGCTTATTCACACAAAATCTCATGGAATTCCTGGGAATGACAGAGAAATTACATGTATTTTACTAAAGACAAGGGAAAATGTGTCAGAAAGTGAATGCTAAAGCAGATCTTGAAGTCAGCAATTAGAACAAACTTAATTGACGTGGGAGTGCAGACAGGTCCAGATGGCTTAGCTAGGCTGTAACCTAAGCACTGACTCTCAAACATGGCTATCCACAGCCTCTTTTTACATTTAATAATTTTTTTACTATTTTTTGTTAATTTTTAAAAAAACTATTAATTTTTCCCTATACTACAACAAGGAGCCTAAAGCAATGAATTCAGGTTTTCAAAATTCCTGTAAAACATACGTATCTTAAAAATTATGCACATAACACCTTGATGCAAATCTTAAAGCACCCTCTATAGCAAGTTCTCCATTTAATTGGTAAAGCACCTAATACAAAAACTGCCTGATTCTATTTCCACTTAAGCCATTCATTTTAGGTGAGATTCCTCTAATTTCAGTGAAGTTAACTCTCACTTACATCCCTGTATATGACAATAGACTCACATTCACTGTACCTTCCGTAAAGACTCCTCAATTTCCTGAACAAACTCTACAGAGGTACAATTTTGGCTACATTTAATAAAATGGCTAAATGAAATAATATTTTAATGAAAAATATTTTATCTTAATTAAAAGGAGACTGTGAAGCTCCAGTGAATTAATGGATCTGTAACAGCCTCTTGCCCACAGTCTATCCCTTCTTCCTGTGTATTATATACATTATGCGGACATTTGAAAGATTATTTCTCTCATTTCTATCTCAGGATCTTACAAATTTGATGGTATTGACATAATTTACTCCACTTTTATATCAGATTGTTATCAGAAGCAAGAATTTACTGCTTCGGCAAAAGAAACATTTGTTTTGGTAATTTTCTTGGTTTAACAGAATCACTACTAAGAAGTAAAAACCCTTGTAACACTAGCCAGTTCCTCTTTTGCATGTCTCCAGGGACTAGCAGGAAGGAAGAAAATAGTATATTTTTTCCCTTTGAAAACTAGATCTCCTTTTGATTTCAACCCCTTAGGGATCCATTCCACATTTCTCATGTGTGACAGTGTTTTGCAGCATGGTCACCCACAGTAACACAAAAACACCTGACAACAGGAACTGGGTCATCTTTGGGGTTAAACTGAAAAATGAAACCAACAAAACTGCCAGCAAAATTCACTAGGTCCAGCAAGAACTTCTTGGCAGCTCTTACCCAGAAGTATCTATTAGTAACAGTTACTCCTTGCCAGCAGCCAGACTTCTTAATCTCATTGACTAGATCAGATTTCAAGGCTATTCAATTCTGTTTCAGAGTCAAATGACATTGTGTCATAACTGTTCATATGTTATACCCTTTGCATACTGTCCTAATCTCTTCAGTCATAGAAGCATATCCTTTGAAGCCATCACATCTTAGTTTACCCGTTGCCATGTGGACTTGCCTCACTTGTTAGCTGCTAGAGCAATAGGAATGATAACAATATTAATAACAATAAGCCATTGAATATAGCTTTCAGTCATTTCTCAGCAAACTCAACCTACTTCAGAAATATTTTGGCTTCAATATTATCTCCAGAGACATTTATTTAACAGCAGGATCAACTTCAGGGCCTCAGCTGGCACCTTCATGCCCAACAGAAGGGGATATTACTGCATTGCAGCAGGTGCAGCCTGTAAGCTTAAAAACATCTTATCTGGTGGCCTTTAAAATTTTGTTTGTTCCAGAGTTTTGACATTCACTTATTATTTATTGCCCAATTACGGTATTTCTACAACATGTTCGGCTTCCTGACATGATCTCTCTCAAATACTGCGTGTGGCATATGGAATCTGGCTTCCATAAAGGCATCCTTGTGCCTGTTGACAGTCAGGAAGGTGACAACAAATAAAAATAATTATGTGGGGGAGGGAAAAGGATTTCAGAAGATAAATTTAGTCTCAGTTCATCTCACTGACAGGCATCTCAGAAAACATTTACAGTGGACAGAAGGATATCATGGAAAGAACAGCAGTTGGAAGTGAAACGAGGCTAAATTGATCTACTGTTTCATACCTCAAATGTCCTGTAAACTTTCCCTGAAGACCAGGAGGTATTTACCCAACCAAGTGGCAGTTTCACTTGTTCTTTTTAACTTCCTACTCCTCTGTCCTGCCCAAATTCAACCATCTTAATAAGTTCTACTTCTTAATCTTGAATTTATTTCAAATTCAAGCACCTTTCTCTCCTTATCTTCCACCCTTAATTTTCTTGCAATGTAGAAATTTACCCCAAGAATCTCTGTAAGGTAAAACAGGGCCAATAGGTGGAGAACTTGGCCTAGTACCAGACTGTAGAAGACAAGGCTCAGGAGAGAACTTTTCACTCTCTACAACTCCCTGACAGGAGGTTGGAGCCAGGTAGGGGTCAGTCTCTTCTCCCAGGCAACCAGCAGCAGGACAAGAGGGTACAACCTTAAGCTGTGTCAGGGAAGTTTAGGTTAGACATTAGAAAGAAGTTCTTTACAGAGAGAGTGATCAGACATTGGAATGGGCCACCCAGGGAGGTGGTGGAGTCACCATCCCTGTAGCTATGTAGGAAGAGACTGGATGTGGCACTTAGTGCTATGGTCTAGTAGACAAGGTGTGCTGGGTCAAAGGTTGGACTCGATGATCTCAGAGGTCTTTTCCAACCTGGTTGATTCTGTGTGTCTGTATAGTACTATATTCCAGTTTTTATTTCATGTGGACCTTCAAAATGTAGTTTGGGTGTTTTTCCCCCACCCTTCCCTGCCTTCTTACCAATAAGCCCCGAGTAAGCGAGCAGGCAGTCAGCATAGTTCTCCTTCAGACAGCTGCTAACAGACCGTGACTCAGGCTGGCAGTTTGTGAAGAAATCTGCAAGGCGAGATCTGCAACATGAAGAAAAATGCGTATCTTTAAAAATCAAGCCTGCAGGCGTTCTTACCTTTTACACTCTCTTTATTTTTGGACAAGGTTTAATATTCTTTAACTCAAATGCATATTGGACACATTTCAGCCGATGAGAGTCGCTTTCCAAAATGCATCTCTTTCCAGAGTCTATTTTTGTAGTCAGAACAAAAAAGTGTAAGAAAACAGTAAAAAGGGACAGAACAACAGGGCAACGCGTGCCCTTTACTAAAAGAAATGTTCTGCATTTTCGTGCCAAGAAAAAAAATACAAAGAGTGATTTTATCAGTCATTTTGCCTGGATCTGAACTCTAACTGGAGTCTGTTGTCCTAAAGATTCAGAACACAGTCTCTGCTGTCTTAATGATTACACAAAACTATATGTTTGTACTCACAGAGCCCTCTTACTGCAAGAGTGGAAGCAGGACCTGCTTTGGTACTGCCCTGAGTTTCCAGGGAATGGGCTTTCCCCTGCTCTGGACTGGCCTGCAGGACCAGCTGGTTGAACTGGGGTAGCAGGCAGAACCAGCTGGCATGGTCTCCACATCCCCCAGAGCCATGGTACTGAGAATCTATTTGTTCTTGTAAATGTGCTTTTATCTGAAGTCTAGAGTGCTGAGTCCAGGGCTGAGGAAAGGGAATGTGTGCTCTGCATCGAGTTCTGCTGCTGAATGGCCATATTATCCTCAGTTCCCTCAGTGGCCCCATGACTAAGAAGAGGAAAGCACTGCTTACTGACAGGAGATGCTTTAAGACTAGGAGTGAAGCTGTATTGTCATTAACTGATTATTTCTATGTTGGAAAACAAAATAAAAGGACCAGCAGCCACAATCTCTTCTGGTTATTTATGCTTTAAAGGCCACATAATGCTTGTGGCCCATTCAGGTCTGTAAAATTTGTGAGGCATTGAGATGAGGTGGGTCAAGGTCCCACAACCTTACAGTTGCTCTCCTGCCCTGCTCAGGCTTATAAACTTGGATCAGTGACTTTTGTTTATTTATAAAGTATCATTTAGACCTCTATCTCCATGAAAAAAAAAGGAATATCCCTACTTCGATCTTCTTTTCTTTGAAATAGGTACAAAAATGTTCTTTTGTTAAAAAACCACAGTAATGTCTCAGGATCAGGTGCTTAATCTTTGTAAAGCTCTCTCCAAATCAGAATTGTATAATCTATGTATTTTCGTCACTGCTCTAGCATTATGCAGATTTGCAATATAAATGTTATTTTTTAGTTTTGCAACAAAACCACAAAAGTTAGCAGAAACCAGTGATTTGCAAGTGATTTACTTTATTTGTTTACATACTCCAGAGACTAATTATCTTTGTTTACTTTATTGTTTTACCTACCCGAGAATGGGATTGGATACACATCATTAATTGGCCTGAAAGTAATGATGGGCAAACTTCAAAAGGTTCACAGGCTTAGTCTGAGAAAGCATCCTATAAATAGACTCTCTGCAACCTATACCTGAATTTATCTGAGCTGTTCTCATGACCTTTTTTTAGTTCCCTCTCTCACTAGCTGTACTGACACCAGCAAATCCATGATTGCCTTTAAGCCACAAGTCAACTCTAAGCTTTTCATTCCCTCTCTTCCCTTATTTAACCACTTAACCTTGAGATGGAAATTTGTACCCACTTGCCTTTAACAGCCTTAAAAAGTAAAGTTCTCTACCAATCCTTTAAGATGCACTGTATGTATACCTAAATTCTTAAATTCACATAAAATCTCTACTTTGCTGGTTAATATATACCGTATCTATCAGGAGACAGGGTGAGAAGAAATGGGTCCCAAGGTATGGGAAGAGATAAACAGCAGCACCACAAAGAAAATCTGGGCAAGGAAACCCTATGTCACTGCATTGATTCCTCTCCCAGTCAACAATTAAGACAGTGGCTCGAATCCAGCCTTTGGATCAGCTGGGAACAAAGACAGTTGACAGTTGCCAAGGACTTTTCTAATTCTACTAATACCCGTATGAAGCAAGGTTTAGGACAGAATAGAACCTCCTACATCTACCTACTATGAAAAACCTCTGCCATGGCAGAAAGAGTAAGTCTGCTGTATGTGCAGCATTTTTGCAGTTCTAAAACAAAGTAGCTCCTCATATTTAAATTTCATAATTTATGTGACCACAAATAAATCTTTCTGGAGATGCAATTATACAATCAGCATCTTGATAATCCTGAAAACACGCCTTGCAATCATTTCATCATTCTTAAATGTCCAATTCTCCCTTAGGTTATTAGGTGCACTGGTACAGAGATCATTTAATACATTCCTCTTCTCTAAACGTTTCTAAGGACTGATAAATATGGAATAACAACAGTCATTTACTACCTGGTCTGCTTAAAGAACTTATTTGTTGTAAGCCCTAAAGGCAGCTAAAAATTGCTCTGCTGATCTCCTTTACATACAGCTTGATTTATGTTTGAATTAATGAAGACTTTTTGTGGTCATAAAAGGTAATGATCTGACAATGTTGCACATTTAAGTTTTCTTAAGTCAAATATAGTTCAGACAGCTCTGGTCCAAGCATTACTGGACATTATCATACACCTCTTCCCTAGTGAGTCATCCAAACTTCATACTATCAAAGCTCTCACTCTCTCCTGAGCTGTTAATGACAGCTGATATTTATGTGGATTCATTTCCACTGGAGATAAAGTTAAGGCCAGAAAATAAAAACAGAGACAGACCTATACCTGTCATAAAATAACTCCAACACTTTCAGTGAAGATCTACTGATTAACACTCACTGAAGATCTAGCCCCAAACATTTCCAGTAGACTGGCACTGATGAAAGTGTGCTCATCAGTTAACACCAAAACAGTGGTACTGCAATTTATCAAGAGAGAGAGACAAATTAGCTTAATGAGAACCATTAATCCTAAAGTATTGCACATGAATATTAAGAACTGTTTGAGTAAAAGAGACAATCCTTTTAGGGATGCTGAATAAGAGCAATCAGATAACAGCACTCCTATTAAATAATCTGCATACTGTGTTAACTTAGTGCTCCTTCAGCAGGAAAAAACTTGCAGGTAGTAACTTGTGGTTAAGTGTCTAACCACATGTCTGAGCACTTTTGTTATCTGACAAAACAGAGCTTTCAACATGTACCATCAGGTGTGCACAATTTTACATGTGCAATGTACACAGATGTGTCACACTACTGGATAGAAACAGGTAGTTTTATATTGTACAGATTGTGTAGCAGGACTACATTTAGAAGGAGCTATTTGTTTATTTTTCTGTCACAAAATCCTCATTACGCACAGCAGCATTAATGGGTTCTTTTCCTTTCCCTTCCATAAAAAAAATCTTCCCTTTGTAGGGCAGAAACCCCACAAATTAAATTAGTCCTATCTTAGACCTGGAAAATCTCATCAAAGTAAACTGCAGATGTTCTGGAAAGCTTACTTTAAATATTTTGTATACCGCTAGCTGAAAAAGTAAGAATAATCCTATTGGAAAATTCAAAGAAAATCAAACAAACAGTCTTTCTGAAAAGAAGACAAAAAAATCCCAAACCTGCTATTCTCCAATGCTTTGTATTAGCACCAGTAAAATAATTTGTAACAGTTAAAAATACAAGGGAAACAAAGTTAATTTGCTCTCCTTATGATAGTGGTTCTTCAAATACTCAGCAGGATAAATCAAAACTTTTAAATTTTGCTCACAAATAAGCTTTGTTAATAGCGGTATTGTGTTTAATCTGCATATAATTGTTGAGGTAATTTTATATTAGCACAGCCTGTTGCATAGACAGTATTGATTAGGTTTTCATTATTTTTTTGTTCTCAAGGTTTTGTAAAAGTTCTTTGATGTCCTGAAGTTATCTTTGATATTTATCAGTTCCCCGTCTTTAAAGCTGGTCAACTCAGCTTTAATACTGGTGCGATATTTAAAAGCGTGATATAGATGGTGAGGTTGCAGAAAAAATTTAAAACTGCATTTTTAGTTTGGATCTGGTATAAATCAGAAAGCAATTCTATGAACCAGAGTCCTCCCGAAGAAGTACCCATATTGCTGGGCTGGTAGACATGGATTTCCCTTCATTTTTTCTCTCTGACTGTGCAGTTGGTACACAAGGGCTGAGCCTTCACAGAGAGAAGTCTTCTCTCTCAGCCTTGCCTTTGCACTGGTGATATGCAGACCAAGAAATCTGGATCTCCTGCTGACTGCACACATGTATGGAGTGATGTCCAAGTGAGTGGTTACAACTCCTTGCCGTGTTAGGAATGCAGGGACCGACACTGCTGTCCTCTGCACACACCTCAGGGATGTTAGGTGAAGTCTGGACACGCTCACTGCCACCTCTCTTTACATTGCTGCTTGTGTTTAGGTACCTATTTATAGCAGTAACACAAAGAGTAGGTAAATGCCAAAGCTGAGAGACTGGGGTGACTACATTAATTAGTCAAAGCTGCTCTGGCGTCTAGACACCATTTGGCAGTGCAGTCACGTAAGGGAAGTGCTGCATCAATATTCAAACCAGAAAAGAAGTATAAATCTGACACTGAAAAAACCCAGACTAAGTCAATGAAAGTGTGTCATAGTGATAAATGGCACCATTACAGAAAAAACAACAAGCCCAAATACTTGTTCTTCTTTTGTGGGGGTCAACTGCAGTACCCTACTCTGTAGCTACAAATAGCTCCTCTATAGCTGGGGTGGTGCTGCTTCTGCTGGGATGCAATAGTGGCAAGAGGGGTTGGTATGTGGCCAAACTAATGGCTTCATTGTTGGAGGAGAATTTAATTTTCTCTTTCTTTCATAAACAGGGCAGTTAGAAAATGAAGCAAAGGCTACACAAGCAGCTCTATCAACCAGTAAGACGAAAAAAGCCTCAGAGCAGCTCCATAACGGAAGATGACCCTCCCAGCACTTATTAACGTTGTTTTGATCCTTTTGTTTTCATTAAAAGACACTAGAGCTGGGTAATATTAATACATCTCACACCTCCTTAGTTATC